CTGGTCATTGTGAACTAACGAGTAAGTTTTAGTCAACGTTATATATTATTTGCTTTCCTATGTTGTAATTATATCGTGAATGGAGCAGCAGAGTTTATAACAAGATTAAATTGGTTTTTATTTAATTACTTAGAATTATATAAAAATATTGCTTTTACTTTCCAGGCTATTATATATAACAAAATGGCGATGGAATAACCCCCAAAAATTCTACATGTTTGGACTCAGGGCACCTTGAACGTCGGGAGATGCAAAAAATTTCGGGTGTTGTGTGTATGTGGGGGGGCACGATTTTGTTCATCCTCTTTGAAGCTTAANAAGAACGTCGATTCTGCATAGTTAAAACTCCTCTTTTATTTCTACATTCTAACAATACTACTCTTAGCACTTAAAATTCTAGAAAAAATTACATTAGTAAATTTGTATTAGCAGCTTTAATTACTTAAATTTGAAAGTTCTTTTTTTTAGATAAAAATTTTTAATATTATTATTACGTTATTAAATATTACAAAACATCAGTAAAATATATGCCATTATTAACCAAAAAAATTTTTTCTGAAATTAAGCTCACAAAGGTAGAGGCATAAGTATGTAGTAGTTGTATTGTGCCATTGTAATGTCTTCGTTTAAATGGTAAAACATGCGAGTAATACACCTATTGTATTCACCACAATATAATTATTTTGAATTCAATACTACTAAAAATATTGAGTAATAATTTAACCTGGAATGAAGCTTTTAGCCTGATGACATAATCGAATTGTTTGTTTATTTATTTTTTAAAATTACTATTTGTAAACTCTTTGTACAAATATTATGAAATCGGAAAAAAAAATTAAATGTTAGTTCTATCAGTTTGCATGTTTTTAAGTTTTTATGCTAATTTATGTTATTTATTTCCGAAGAATTTAAGTGTAGGCCTAAATGTACACAGATTTAATTTTGCAGTGGTTTTGAATAAATTATGCACATGTTCAATAAAATCTATGTTGTGTGTTATCCGTTATTATCTTCCGAGTTAAATATACATTTGTTTTAAAACATTTCATGCATTAAAACAAATTCATGTATAATATTAATTAATTAATTAAACAATTAATTTTGGCCAATTTGTACCGAAATTTTAGGAGTATGACGTGCTCTATCTATTTAAAAAATAGCTTGTATAAGTGAAACGAATGAATTTACGTCGCGTATACAATTGTACCTACTATATAACACACTACCGACTCAGTATATTTTTTCTATTACCCAACCAAAATTTAAGAAAGAATCTGGCTTACTTGATTAGCTTTTCATTTGTAAAAAGGTGTCTCAATCTTTACAGTTTATTTTGTATTGAGAAGCTACTATGCTATGCAAAAAAGTCGAAATTAAGTAGCGTATGAAACACTAAAAAACTAAATAAATTTTAATGTGTGAGTATATTGATTGATTTTACGTCTTAGCATATAACAATATTGCCAATCGAGGGAATGTCTATTAAGATATAGGAAGTATTTTAAGGGAAAGTAGTTTCTACTCGCAAAATAAAACTCTGTAATCTTCACCAGCCACTTTAAATGTTGAATCACGATCCTTAGCCGATAAACACTGTTTATGTACAATATAAGTAATTAGTGAACGAAATTTGTCCATTGAAGCATAGAAATTTTTTATATGTTATCGAAAACGTGCCTTTAAATCCAAAGAATATTTCTTGTTTTCAAGCCAAATTAGCTTCGTTTGCAACAAATGCTATGTTGTGGGACTGCTGGTTCGGCATTTGTAACTTTTTGATGTACAGAAGCAAGACACCACAAAAACCGATAGCATAATGACTATGTCACAATACATGATAAATTACTCGTAATTATTTACAATTTCAATTATATTAATTTAATCGCATATAATTTTTGTCGATGTATTTACTAATTATAAATTCATTTATATAAACAACTGGTTGTATTTATTGGTTGAGTATTAAAACATTCTTATGATTTTTGTTTTTATATATTGAAAAGTCGAAAGTGTCAGAACTCTTTAAACTCAACTTTGATTTCTTTGGCAATGTTAAACTTTTTGAGTTATACAATAGAATATATTCTTCAGTTTCGTATAAATCAGTTCCTGTCTAAAATTGTGGTTCACAACACATTTTCAGTATTACTAAACCTTTTGATAAATTACAGAATTTGAACTTTTTGCAAATTTAGAATGAAAGCGCCCTGTTTACATTATATATATTTACATCAGTCAAGGTTGTAATTTAAATATTCTCTTAATAACCCTCAGAAAACACTAATTTATTTTCACCTGTAATTTTAATAGAGCCAATTTTAATTCTTCAATTATTTTCTGTTCAGTCTGTGGCATTTAAAAAGGTTTTACAATAAACTTACTTTCCGAGCTTATTCCAACAATATTTTAGCTTAACTTAATACCCATACAATTAGGTAGGCCGACAATATTGAATTGCTAAAAATTGCCATATCTTCGCTTCACTAACAGATCTACAACTACAAGATTTTTGTAATTAGGAGTTACAAACTGTTTAACTATGAGTCAGAAAAATCGGGTTTCTATCGCAATGTGGGGCACCTGGGAAACACAGTGTTCTTGTTTCAAAAATCAATTTTGTAGAAACCATAGTTTTATTCGTGGTTTTCTGATGTTAGGCGAGTAATGTATTGTGTTTTTGAAGTCTTAATAAAGAAAACTACTGAAAATATATTATTTTTAATAATGTTATAACGAAAACAATAATGTACTGTATTACGTTTCAGGAATTTTTGTTTAGAAAATCGTCAACTTTAGAAACGTTTTGTACAGACTGTAAACAAGTTTTTTGCTCTCTAAGCTCTGCTTCACTTTCTTCTGTGTCAACCAATAAATGCTTTGTAACTACCATCGAGCTATAATTATTTTGGAAAATACGGACCCTAGTGGGTTGACAGTGGAATATAAATACTTTCACGTAATTTAACAAAATAATTTTTTTTCTGGCTTTCGCGTATTGTAAGGAGTTTACGTTTCTTTACAAATGTTAAAAAATTATTTAACTGCATTTTACATAAAGGTTTTTAAAAACTTTCAAATAAAAATGTTTAGTAAAACTAACCTCAATTTCGCTACTGATAACGTGAATTTTATAAATAATTTTTAAATTTGAACTGAAGTAATTCGTTTTTAATTTATAGAATGATTTAAATACGTCACTAAAATTATATCAAATCCTAGAACAATTAGGAAAATGGACAAATACTGCTACTACTGCACATTTTATCTATCGTGTAATTTACCTCTTCTGTTTGGATATATTATGTTTCAACGTTATGAATTCAACTTGAAATTCATTCAAGTTCATATCTTTAATCATTTTTTACTAACCGGCATTCATTATTTTTTAACCGAAATCAATATCATATCTTGTAGATGTTTGGAAGCAACTTATAACAGTAAAGAAAATACATTGTTCATGAAAGCAATATTTGCCTCTCTATCACTTTTTTCTAGTATAACCGCTTAATACGGAAGACAACAAAAAATAACCATAGAAGTTACGACATTGACTTATTGGGGAAAATTGAGAATATATCAGATATTAACGTCTTATTTCATTGTATTTTATGACTGTTGGTTTTATAAACTTTAAGAGCTCTTACCTACTTAATTACTTTTCGACGTTTCGAAAATCGAACGAGTTACACCTGGGCTGTATTCTGCATTGAATACAATAACCCATTTTAAATTAATATTCGTATATTCTATATGGGGTTAATTTATATCTGTTATTATGATAATTGGCTATGTAATGAAAAAAAAAAGATTTGATGTCTTGCCAACAAATAAATTAAGTAGGGAATAAAAAAAATTTCATATCATTGAAATCATTTGTAAATACTTCGAATTATGCGATTTTATTCAGAAGTAAACGACAAATGGTACAAATATGTATTTTTTAAATATGGAATCATTTTGACCTTTGTTTCCTTGTTCATATACAACACCATTTTGGAGGATCACATTTACCATTTAATGCATATTTTGAAATTTCTCTCTTTACTGTGTTTTATTAATATCGGCTTAATTTTTTCTTTGCTATTGTTCAACTAAGTGCAATCAGTAAGTGTAAATTTTCAAAAATATTTTTGTTAAATGTTTCATGTCATGACAATTATTTACACATTTATAGGCTTATGGTTCGTTTCAAGAAAGAAGAAAGTTGAGTACTGCTACTTTACCGCTGGAAACTAAACTGGAAGTAAGGACATAAGTAATTTTAGTATTCTGTGAAAAAAGTGATTGTTTGTCTTTACTTTACAATATTTGTTACAGATGTTGAATTTCATAAAAAAATTCCATAAAAACAATATTAGACTGAGTTGTAGGGATTGTTATGTATTTTCGAAACAACCACCCGTACAAGTATATTTTTTTTTCGTATTACATAACGTATACGTTTATAATTCATTTATGCGCGATTACGCTTATTAATAATACCAGCTGAATTTATTAACATGTAATTGTGTGATTTAGTTAATTCTTTTTTTACCTCATGATTATATTGTGAATTGTGCAACAGATTTTTTCACCTATTTAAAATGACATTTATTTAATAAAAATAATGCCGTATTGAATAATTATATTCCGTATTTAACATGCTTCTAGAAGTTCGAAATATCTACTTTAAGAACATCCAAACTGTACCCCTGCAAATTAAATAACTACATTTTAAAAATCTTATAACACTGCTCCGTAACAACTGAAACTCTTTGCCATTTACATGGCTGTTAAATGGTGTGAAGCCAATCTTACTGGAAGTAGAGTTACAATTTGCTCTGATAGTGCTTCAGCAGTCAACGCACTTAGGAATACCAACAACCTTCACCACCTGGTTAGGAAGATTCTAAACTATATACTTTGTACTCATAACTCATATTTCCTCAAATGGGTAAGAGGTTATCAGGGTGTCCTAGGTAATGAACGTGCAGATTTATTTCCCAGGGAGGCTGCAACAATCAGTACCTCTGGCTCTTACAAGTATTCAGTGCTACCTTCTTCATTTCTTGAGCTCCAACATTGAAACTACAGCTTGGATCTCTGGCAGCAGAAATGGGATATTTACAATGGCCTTGCCAGGAACTTTATTCAATCTATTCATGACCATTTTTTTACCACTGGGTTAGTTCAGACTTTGAAACCACCCAATTATTCACTGGGCATGGGAGATTCCGGGCCTACTTACAAAGGTTTTGCAAATCTGCAACGGACATCTGTACCATCTGTAATTGCCGTGATGGGGTTGTATATATGCATGTGCCAATGACTGTGGATGATAGGCATGAGCTTGCCCTTGCTCTTAGCCACAGGGGTATTAATTGGCCTTGTGATCTTTATGTCTTTCTTAAGGATAGTGACACCTACAAAGCATTCAGAAAATTCATTCATAAGTTTCACATACGCTTTGTAATTCATTAATTTGGTCAAGTCTGTCATCGGGCACTATCTTCATTTGGTCCCTGCACATTATTGTACATATCATTATTCGTTCTCCTGCAACATATATCTGTGTAATTGTTATTATTACTATTAGTGTTGTCTATTTTATACTACTCTACAAGTTATTCTACTCTCAAGTTATGTATCATATCGGTTAATTTGTATCGGTCATCTCACCATCTGTTCATACTCCTTCTCTATTGTCATACTGTTTGTACGTTATCTCTCTGTTATTATGTATGTATTTACCTGTGTTTTGTTATATCTCTGTATTTAACCCGATTATGCTCTGGCGGTATCGGGAGGAAATAAAGATAAAGTACAGCAAGCACTGCTTTCAACTAACACAATACTCGTATATTGAAACCGTGACTTTATCATTTAGTTTACAAAATAATTACAAGTAGTCAGTGTTTAACCAGTTAAACATCAAATCCTCATATATCCTAGAAAGAAAACCTAAATATATAATTAGAAAATTTGTTTAATATTTTATGCAGTAATTTAAATAATTTGCGAAAGATTTTAACTACTAATGCATACAAAAATATATGATGCAAAATTAAACTGTGTATTATTTTGATTCTTTTGAAAATATTTATCAACCTTGTAATTAAAACGTACACGTGTTCTTCGAAATTCCTCTCGTTCCTTTATTTTCTCATTAATCTTAAACAGCAAATTCCTTGTAAAACAGGAATGTCTGGCATTCACTGAAGTTATTTTCTATAAGAATGCTATGATTCCTTGCATACCTTAAATGTTTATTAATAATTTTTAGATTTTTATAATTTACAAGGTCATATTCATTAATCTATGAACTTTGTATTAAATCAATATTTTATTTTGTATATATTTAAAAAATTTACATTTGTGAGTAAAGTTAGCTCATTAAATAAAAATGTTTCATAAGTGTGTGCAGATTTACTTGAAAGACAAACAGTGAATAATAAACATAATATAACGAATTTTAAGACATTATTTGATGAAAATCGAAAATAAGTTATTTATAAATTTATAATGTTATGTTTATATCTCGCTTTAAACAATTTAAGTATTGATTGTGCGAAATGAGGTCAAAACTGTTTCAAAACTGAAACACGTATTGTAACAAAAACGTAATCTGAAAATTTTTCTGTACTTACAAAACATCGAGTAAAAACTTTAATTTAATTTTATTTGCTACGTGAGAGTTATATTATAAATCGTCAATAACGAAATGAATAAACAGTACAGGTGTAATCAGCAAGACGTAAATAAATCAAAAAATAAGTACATGAAGACAACCTGATTTTAGCAGACTCGTACTAATTAAAATTTTTATTCAAAATTCCTATAAACCGTGACAGAAGCATCCTTCGTGTCTTCCTATGAACCAGTAGTAAAGATAAAAATTATTAAAAGAAAAAAAACAATTTCAATGTAACTCAAAAGATCAAAGTAAAGTATTATAAACAAACTAAATTATTTATAGAATTGAAAAATAAAAAATAAAGTAAACTCTGGCAAATAAATAACTATTAATAATTGTATTATTTATCCGTATGATTAATTTTCTATGCGATGTAGTCATGTATTCTTAGTAATTTATTTTCGGCAGATGATACCCTAACATCCTTTACTTTAAGTACGTGCAGCAATTATACTTGTATTTATTTTTTATGTTTTGTTAATAACTACAAATAATTATTGAATATGCATAACAAATAACAGAATAAATATAATTTAATTGCGATAAAATCTAGCAAATTCGTAATAAATCCACAATTCTTTTTTTAACACGCGTGAATGAAGTTCAGCTGTGTTTCGTCTTACCGAAAAACTTTGTCTGCTGACCGCATTTATGGAAATTTTATTCATTCTTTAACAAAATTAATTTAAAGAACACTGAATTAAAAACTGAAGCCATCTACCAGTAAATAAATTGGCTTCGGTTATTATGGACTTTGCTGGTGGAATCGTAGTGTTTTCATAACAGTAATAATAATAATAATAAAATGAACGTAATGGGTACATTTATAAGGGAAAAAGTTACCTGAATTAGAAGACATACTATATCCGAAATTATAGCTAATAATGCATGATTGTGCTCAGCACAACACTCATTATTGGCTATTATCTTGGTGAATGAATTTCATAACAATAAAGATAAACGAGCATTATTATTATTCATACCTGTCATGTTTTGAAGATGGCTTATAATTTAGAACATTCGATGTCTTTTTAGTTTTTCATTCATTACTTTATTCGTGAATATGGACGTCATTAATTTAATTAATTAATTATTTATTTATTATAAAATAAGCACTTGTAACATCTGCATAGCGATATATACAATGATAATATTTTAGAATCATCAGTAATTATATTTTAATTAATCTGATTACTCTCAATTATATATATTTATTTTATATTGCAGTAATCTGAAATATTCTATTTGAGTTTCGGTTGTATTATATTATTTGAAAATTTGAAATATCTTTTAAAGAATTACACATATACCATTTTGACATAATTGATATAATTATTTAGTAGAGAAATGCGTAAAATATGAAACAATAACGTGGTATTTAAATACACCTGCAATAGTTTCAAATGCGAAGTAGAGTATACTGATTCGATACACCTGAAAATTCTTTACGAGTTTGGAATTAATAATATTGTTACTAATATTCGCTACTACAGTATAAACGGAAAATACATAAATATTATGCGAATCTTATAGGAGTCTACATTATATCATAAACAAGGAATGAGAAACTGCATAAGACTGCTAATAATGTACTGTACTCGCTATCCTTCTTATATAAATCTATATGGTTTGGAATTAAATTAATACGCCACTTACAATTAATTTTACGAAAAGGTAAACTAATAACTTTTTTGCAATTTTACTGTTTTCTTTTATTTATTGGGTTACGTTTAAAAAGTCCAGCAAGGAGTTGCTTCATTTTTATGAAAACAAAACATAAAACTATATTTGGCACAACTTGTTTTCATTTATTTTATTTTATTATGATTATTTTAAAATTACAGTAGAGCGTCGTTTATCCGAATCAATTGGAGACTGGGATGGTTCGGATAAATTATTTTTCGGATAACGAATTATGTACGAAAAAATATATTAATTTATCCAATGTTGAAATTTTTCTCCGTTGCGTGTCGCTTCGCGTTTAATTTTCGTCGATGTTAAGCCTAACGAAGACTATTGTATCGTTAAAAATTATTTTTTTATTTTGTACAAACAAAATAAATATATTGAAAAATATAAAAATAATAAAAAATTATACTTCAGATGTTAATTTAGTGTCAAAAACGTAAAATATTTGAGTAGGCCAAGAAATAGCCGAAGATTGCAGCGCCACTGCACTAGCGAAAATTTAAATTTGCCGACTGGAATGCTTTTGGATAACGGACGTTTCGGATAACCAGCTTTCGGTAAACGACGCTCTACTGTATATGCAAAATTTTAAAAGTAAAAATATATTTTATAAAGATTTATAAACAGTATTAGTAATTAAAATAATTATTACGCCTGCTTCATCTAATCTACTCAAGAAATGACAGAACCTCATATATATATTTATATCTTAACGCATTAAAATTCATATAGTATTAATTATCTAACTTAATCTATTTATCTATCTATAGTATTAATTACGGATTATTAATATTTTATGCATTTTTGAATAATAGTTTTATTTTCTTTGTTTTTTGTTTTTTTCTCGATAGTTCTCTGGGAGAATGTTATTATAAAAATTTTTGTTACATCTCTTCTTAACTATTAATTACTGTATACAGTACTAGCTGTTACCCGCGACTTCGTCCGCGCAGGTTTTGCAAGCAAACCCCATTTATAGTCAGTATTTAAACAACCATATTAATTGTTATATAACACCTACCGCCGAGAATGATGAGAATTGCTGAGAATCAAACAAACTATTTTCAATTTGATCAATTTTCTGGAACGTTTACAATCGTTTGATAATCTAACCAATATCTAATAACAAATTTGAATTTAAAAAGGTTTGAACATTTGGTTAAAAAATCGAAATATATAAAAATATTTATTACAATGTCTTAAATGTTATTAATTTAATACACTTAAGTACTTAATGAAGACTAAACGTAACAAAAAATCGCATGTAAAATAGTACAGTAGAAGCCATTCTTTTGGTTAAGACTTAATGCTCTCCCTCACCCCCGCGTGGAAATTTCGAAAAATCCTTTCTCAGTGTGCCTTTTTCAGTGAAGCCATTCTTCCGGTTAAGCCTTAATTCTCTCCCTCTCCCCCACGGGGGAAATTCGAAAAATCACTTCTTACCCCCGTATTCACCAACGCGAGTTAAACAGAGAGTTGACGAAATCGAGTTTAGATGTATCTCGAAGTCAAATTACGAGTTACTCTTTATTCGTATTCAGATAAAAGTATAACTCTAGAGTTTCTCTACTCTAGAGTTAATGCTTTAAAACAATCCTGCGTTCGAGATTAAACAAGTCTTCTTTCGTAAGCCGAATCTTGATTGGTTGAAAGCAAAACGTGTAGAAAATGGCGGAAACTTAAATGGAAAATAGTGCATCCCTAACTGAAATGTTCCCGTGGCATAAAAACGTAGAACCAACAACAGTTGTTCCATCGGCGACATCCGATAATTTTTCGATGATGTAGAAACTAAATTGTGACCAATTCGTTTTAGTATGTATCTTAAACTCTCTTTTGGCAAACGATATCGACATAGAAAGTCGTAATTGTCCAATTATTCAAGGTGATTTCTTTTTGGAAAAATAATCCGCCGACTTCTTCGTTTCACACGATCTATATAATCTAGATATTTCAGATTTTCTAGCATCTCGGTTTCGTCCTAGTCGAATGTCGCCATTTTTCTTTCAAATAGATCGCATTGTGCAAGCATGAAACCTA